ACCAGAAGAATGAAAAGTGTCCCCGCCTTTCCTTTGTACTTGTAATAAAAGCATTTGTGAAGAAATTCACACTGCACATGCCATCTGGCATCGGTGGAACGAAATATGAGTGCACCCTAATTAAAATCGTAAAATTTCTGACAATGAGCACCGCCATTCACTCCAATATCACCCCTGCACCGCTGACCCTCATTCCAAAAGAATGTGCTGGTTGGGCGACATAACAGGTTATCGCTACTGTGTATTCCAAAAACATTGTGCGTCTTTCGGTATTAATTTATCTCTAAACCCAGCATTTTAAATTCTCAGAAACGATCATTGCGGGAAAATTGTTGGCCGGGACTAAGATTTTTGAACGATCGATGCGATAAAACGATAGTTCGAGGAACGATAGAAGCGGGAAAATGTAACATTATTTTATATGGGATGTATTCGGGACCGAACAAAACGGACGATGCATCCGGGAAAACGATAGTTCCGGGAACGATGGATAGAGGTTTCACTGTATATGCAATACTTAGTTATGTAACTGCACTGATAAAATGAGTGTATTACAATTAAAATTTAAGGAAAATTTGAGGTATGAAAAGTACACACAAACTATTAAATGTGTTTGGCAATGGAGATGTGACAGCGCCAGACTACTTCAACATTCTCTCAGAAGCATGATGCAGTATAATGTTGTAATCTGTTGCAAGTTTTGACTTCTCTTGCCAACACACCTCAAAACGTAAGTTATCTGCATGCGTAAGTTAGTGTTTGGAATATCCGTTCTGACAGAGGTTCAGTAATTTCATATCACTCATAGAAGGTTCCTGCATATTTCATTAAGTTTCCAGTAATTAATTACTGAATGCCATGTCTGAGTGGCTAACATCCTGCTTCATATTCAGGAGGTCCTTAGGTAAAATACTGGATGGAGGCTGACTATCCTGACACTCTTCTGTGGTTTTAGTGATTCCTTCCAGGCAAATGCCAGAATTAGGCCATGACTTTTCTTCCACATCTTTCCAATTCATTATTCACTAACTATCTCATTCACTACTACAATATATATAGTATGAGCTACTGACAATGTCCTTAAATAAACCACAAATGAATACGTGAATAAGACCCCTATAATGCATTCTTGAAATAATTTGTCAGTGAGTTTCCCCATGTCAACTGTGAGTCCTTCTTCATACACAGTTATCTGATGCTTCGGGCTGTGCAAATACAAGTCTCTTTGTGATCATACAGAGTCCTCTCCTCTTTCCAATGGATGGCACCTGTACCTCACGCAATGTCTCCATTTTCAATTTCAATACAAATATGTTTCTATTATGATGATAAGTGCTACAGGTGTTTATATTCCTTAATATGTAGATTCAAAAAGAGGTAAGAGAGTGAAAAATGTCTATGAACATGCTGTGTCTAAAGCCCTCCAATTTCCTTGATAGCTTGTGCTCTGTTCTATTTGATATCTGCAGCAGTATCCTCACATTTCTATAGGTAAACTGTCATGTCATCATCTGCTACAAAGTTTCATACATTTTATTCCAAATATTTGTTTGGTTTTTGGGATATTATGCTATTTCTGTTCTAAACTATATTTCTGGAATGTCCTCACAAATCAGGTTTACTGATTTAAAAAAATCATTTAAAATATGACTGTGCAAATTAAAGTTGAATTACAGGTAATATTTTAGTTGCAATTTTTGGACTTACAAACCTTCCATTGGTATTCCACATATGATTTTAGGTTTTCACGGCAGTGAATCTGAAGATGGCTGGTTTGTAGCTTTGTAAAGTGTTGTAGAAATTTACCAATATTTCAGAGGTCCTTACAATACATTGCCTAAATAATGGATGCAGTAAGGACCTCTGAAACATACCAGAAGACAGCCATTTTCATATTCAAAATGTTTCCTAATCAAGAAATCTCCTTTCCATTTTCTATGAAGTGTTCTTCATCAGTTATACAGAGAAATACATGTTGGTAATACAGCACATCATTCGAACACAGGTCTCTCAACCCATGGTTTTAGCCTTCAGAAATGTAATTTTTTTTTGCATTCTTTCTGGATTCTTGATCTTAACTCACATGGACAGTGCATGAAAGTAATGAAATGGTATGTTCCACTGTCCAAAACTCTATCACTGTACTCTCAAGTGAGGGAAATCAGATTTTGAAAGTGCCCAAGCTCAAATGTGTAAATAATTAAGAACATTTAAAAACAGGAAGATTGCTGTCTTCTGGATAGTCTGGCAGAAGTTTAATGATATTTTGGAGGTGCTTGATGCAACCACAAAACAGCAATTTTTATACTTGCTACTAAAAGAACCTGAAATATAATTTCTTAAGGAACAACCATACAATCTATGCTAAATAATTTGGAAGTAATTGACCAACCCTTCTGAAAGGTATCACCACCTTGTCGAAGGCAATCTGCCGGGTGAGGAGGCTTGCGTGCTCAAATGACCCTTAGGGCTATGCTGGCCTGAGCTTCGGCTCATGGTAGGGTCACCCAAGCCGGACAGGTCTAAGGAGATGCGCTAGACTAAGAGTGATACCCTGGTCCTCCAGGTTGGGGGTTGGGTGTAGGGCTAACAACCTTTCACCTTTAAAAAAAAATATGTGTTACGAAAAAATCAACCAAGCCTCGGATCAGGACGGACTCTTTGGCACGACCACAGCAATTGAAAAAGGACATGAGATTTGGTAC